TAACGAACGGCAAATGGCCACAGAAAATGGGATGCACCGGCATGAATCATGGAGGTACGAGCCACCTCCATGACCAAATCGATGCGTCACTCAGCGACCCCATTCTGCTGGGGGGAGTCCGGTAGGGTGTACGACTGGGAGATGCCCTCCGTACGACAGAACTCTCCAAGCCGACCATAGGCGAACTCGCCGCCACGGTCGGAGTGGAGACACAGCACAGGGAGACCGCGGTGGAGGTGTGCAGCTACGATCCAGAGGATAAGAATATCAGGCATGTCGGCCTTTCGCTCCAGGGAAACACCATGGTGTAGCGCAAGTAGTCGTCAACGAGCACGAGAAAGTTGCACTCGCTACACGGTCCAGGGACGTGAGCTGGGCCCCAGACATCCAAGTGCAGGGTCTGGAGGGGTGCGGTGGCAGGGCGAAGTGAGGAGGAGTGAGGAGCACGGCCCAGCTGGCCCTCGACGCAGGGCGTGCATGGCGGCACACGCGAGAAAGGGAGGGCAGGAAGCGACGCAGGGAGACCTCGGACGAGACCGTGCTGGGACATGTGACGCTGACGCGGGAGTGCGGGGTGACCTAGGCGGTGGTGCCACAAAAGCGACGGGTGAGTGAGCGACCGACACGAGCACACAGCGGCGACCTGGTGAAACACACTAGAAGCGTTAGCATACTGAGAATGCAGGGCAAAACTAATCTGATCCACGTCTAAGTCAAAAATAGGCACACTGTTGCGCAGCAGACTGGGCCAGTCGGGGAGGTCTCGGGCCGGGCCGAAGCGGCGACGGAAGAGGTCGTCAAGGCGGCGGTTGCAGCGGGCGGTCGGGGGCGCGCGGCGGCACATTGTGCCGCGGAGGGGCCCGGTCTGGAGCTGGTACAGGCAGCTCACAGCACCGAAACCGCTGGTTGACGCCGAGCTGCAAGGGCCGCCACCGCGGCCACCACCTTCTAGGGCTCCCGGCCACCCCGGCGGGAGGCGGGCCCATGGCTGCTACTGCTGCTGCTGCTGCTGCGACTTTTGCTGCTGCTGCTGCTGCAACTACTCCTGCTACGTCTGCTGCGGCTGTTGTTACTCATGAATGTTATAATCACAATAGGCTCAGATGTGCCTAAAATGAGAGAAATTCAGGACAGTCAGAATTCCGTCAGACAGATTCAAAACTTGATGGCGATCTGATGTGTTCCTTAAACGGTGATCTGTAAATTGGATCTGGAGCGCGTTGCTGTCGCCTATCAGCAGCAAGTTGAACCATAAGATTCCATGAAGATTTGACGACGCTATGGCGGTTTTACTGGTAGGAGGTATAGCAGCCACTATAGTCTTAGGAGTACAAACTTAGCAAGAAGAGTTCGAGAGGGAGATGGTTCCCAGCCTCTACATACCCCAAGAGCCGAGGTCCAGGTTGGTGGTACACCACCACAGAGTCCCCAACCATGAAGAGTCTCGAAACCAACCCTCCAAGGGGCTACACCAAGTGAAATGTAACACTACCCGAAGTAACGTTACTATTTTCACTATTTAATATTTATCCGCGTCCCTTGGGCTTGAAATCTTGAGCTCTTGTTCTTGGATCTGCAAGGTAAATTCTTCTTGAGTTGATGGGGGCTTGCTGCACACACCTGCGACACGATGGACACTTCACACTCGACAAAATAGAAAAAACACATGCGACACACAAACGACGACTTGACATGCGAGTTGTAAAAACTCGCTAATGTCTTGACCGACACAAACCACATTGTGATACATCATTCAAACACACACACAAGCACTGGATAGCAATGACATAGACTCACAATTCATTCCATGCCATGCATGCACACACACAAACAAGGACGACAAGCCGAGTGCAAGCCATAAGGTTGCACCAACAATGAACACCAGCCCCAACCCCCTCGTCAGAACAACTGTCCCTGCCACCACCACCACCACCGGCACCACCACCGGCACCACCACCACGCCCTCCCTTGGGGCCATGACTTCCCCAACGCTGTCGCTGCTGCGGGACGGCCGCAGCTGCAGTCTCAGTGGCAGGTTTAGCCGTAGTGACCTCGGCGTAAACTTCAGCGTATGTGCACTGGGAGGGAGCACAGCCCTGAAAGATAGGGACTGCCACAACACCGCTCGACTTAGCAATAGTGCGCTGGCGAGCCTCTATCTCAGACAAGGCTGTAACAAAGGCGATCAGGGTGAGGTCGCCATGGTGCTAGCTAAGGAATTGGTCGCGGGCAGTGGCTAAGCGTTCAAGCAGGCGCATGGCAATAGGGTATAGGGTGGCACAGAATGATGGGGGGAAGGCAGTGAGCTGGGCGGAAGTGCTAACAGCGCGGTAGCTAGTCTTGAGTGCACGGACGTGAGTGGCGAGGTCAGCGATAGTGGGAAAAGCAGAAAGATTAGGGAATAGCATGGGGAGGATCAAGCGGCCAGTGGAGGCGGAGGCGGTTGTGGAGTAGCGCGCAACTACTGCATCTAGAAAATCCTTGGCGTTCGCGACAGCAATGAAGCGCGGACGCTCAGACAGGGGAAGCGCATGACTAATGGCGAGCTGCGCTACAGCATCGCGAGAATCCCAGACATCGCGAGTGAGTGCAGCAGCAGAGAAGGCCTCACTCTCAGCAGTGGTGGTGTCAGCAGGGAGGGGAGCAGACGCGGGGGGGCGGGGAAGCAAGCCATCAACATGCATAGCCAGGGAGTGCCCATCCTGGCGCTGACCTGTCAGGTGCCGGCGGAGATCGACAAGCCAAGTGGCGAAGTCGATCGCGTGCCCCTCCGCGTCCAGGCGAAGTACGGTGTCCGCCATCGTGCAACCTCAGCGGCAAAGCATTACGGCAGCACAATAGTACGATGACACATCGGCACATCAGCACAGGTATGCAGCGATATGGCGGCACAGCGGCAGGACTCTCAGACGAGAAGACTGGGTGGAAGGTCGAGAAGGGCCCGAGGCACATAGGGCCCGGGGAGCGCAGAGCCGGCAGGGCGCTAAGGGCCGGCGGAGCGTTGGGGCCAACGAGGCGCTAAGTGTGCACAGGAGGGGCCGGCGAGCGAGAAGGGTTGGCGAACACGAAGGGACGGAGAGCGCGAAGGGCCGGCGATTTGCGAAGGGCCGTGCATGCGTGCGAGGGGCCGGCTAGGCGCAAGGGGCCGACGGGGCGCAAAGGGGCCGGCACGGCACGCTAGGGGCCAATGGGGTACGCGATGGGGATGGCGCGTCGCATAAGGGGCGGCGGGCACGCGAGGGGCCGGCAAGGTGCCCAGTAAGGATGACTGGCCTGCGTCCACCTAGCACTAGCCCCATGCCCGATGCACTTGCTAAATAACACAAAACCCTCTTAGCGGCCGACCAGTGCTATGGTCGGTGTCTGCCTGTGGCCACAAAGAGAGCCAGGATGCTAAGAGGGTATGCAAGATCTGGGCGAGTGCAAGTCATCAGGTACATGAGGCAACCCATTAGCTCTACGTAAGGACCACTGGGCTCCACTGACTCCTCAGGAACTGGAGCTGAGAGCCTGTGAGAGAGTGATGGTGCACGCTGATCTGTCCCTGGAGATCTGCAGGCCAAAGTAGTGGCGCAGTTCTCCTAGGTAAATGCAGGTGTGTCTCTTCAGAAGCTCGGCCTTCACGGAGGCTAGCGCGCCCCTCCCTACAGTAGCAAAGACCAAGTCGTCTACGTAAACTGTGAGATTACGACCCTGTTACACCACTTGACCTTTTCCTATTTTCTTTCTATTTTTTTTATTTTTTTTATCTCATCTCATTTTGTTTCCAATTCTCCATTTCCCATTATCCTTTGGTTTATCCTGCTATTATAATTATATCATCGGCCAGGCTCGGGATGTACTGGCGCGCTATATCTAGCGTAATCCTGCCATAATCCCTTAAAGCCAATAGCCTCTCGTGGCTATACGCAGGGTGATTCTATCTTCTAGAAGGGTCTATTCCCTTGGTTTCTAGACACATTCGATTCCGTAACACTTGGTAATCAGAGCTTTTCTCACTCGGCCGCGCACAACAAAGCAGCAGCAGCGGGAAAACCTGCCTCGAAAAACCGTCGGGGGCGACGAATTCGGCGCCGATTCTGGTAAGCACAAGCTCCGCGTTTTGTGAATTACCCTCCCCGCGTGTGTTTTGAACAGGATGGCGACCTTCGACAACGCCGAGGTTACCCAGCAGGTCTTCACGAGCATCGCCGCGCTTCAGGAGGAGATGCGAGCAGATCGCGAAGCTTGGCGAAACGAGTTCGAGCGAGTAACTCGACTCGCCGGCGCGCAACACGATTCTACAGCGGCGATGACGCAGCAGTCGCAGTAGTTTCTCGAGGCTCCAAAACCGCGCCCACCTGAGCCGTTCCATCCGAACGATCGAAACTCTGACGCCCGCAGATGGATCGCCGGAATGGAGATCTACTGCGAAGCCGTCGGATGGAGCTCGCCAGTCTGGGACAGCCAACGCGTACGACTCGCGGCGACACTGATGCGAGGGCCCGCACTCAAGTGGATCAGCGGCAACAACACCTTCATTCACGGTAAAGCCACGTGGCAGCAGTTCCGCACCGACCTGCTGAAACGCTTTGAGCCGATAAATTCGGGTTTCCTTGCCCGGGAAAAAAATCCATCGCCATCGACAATTCGGGAAAGTAGCACAGTACACGCAGCAGATGGAGGAAATTTATAACCGCATTCCTGACCTAACCAAAGGGGAAAATGTACAGTTATACCTCGCCGGGCTGAAGACCGAAGTCAAACGACAGGTAGCAGCGTCAAACTACGCAAGCTACTGTGACGTCGTCTCAGCAGCGGAGCGCTTCGACATGGTCAACGCCGGGACACGACGGACACACGTCGGCAGTACGCGACATGGCGACCGCTCGGCTCACACCACGTTAGCCGACCCGATGGAAAACGACAGGTTCGACGGGCGGTCACGTCCAAAAAACACCAACTTCACGTGTGATTTTTGCGGGGTGCCGTGCCATTGAATCTTCTACTGCAACAAAATGAAGCCGCACATGCAGAGTATCGGACGCGCAACAGTAGCGGAAATTCTTTGGCCAATCAGAAGACAAAAAATGGGAGTCGCTAGTGATTGCGGATCTAGCTGGCGAAAAAGAAAAGATCCAAAAGCGGCCACGGGATTCCGGGAAAATCAACTTCGACGAAGCTGATTCAACGCGAGCAAGAGGACATGATGGGGGAAAATCTCCACCCCACGACCAGTCTTCGCCAGAGAAAATCGCAGAGAAAAAATCCGACTCCGCAGAAAAGGACTCTGCCGAGATGGGGAAACTCCTTGAAGACCCAAGAAATTATAAGGATTCGTTAAAGTTATCTTATAAAGATGCTTTAATGAAAACTTATGATTCTCCTGGGGCAAGAGCCTTGGAGAAATTTTCCGAGGGACTCCAGGAGAAGCAAAAAAATGTGGAGATCATACAGGTACCGGACAACTTGGGGAAAATTTTAAGGAGTGTGGAAAGAAGCCGACCTTTCCACGAAGTCAACGTCCTCTCCCGACACTAGCCCACAACGACTACCCGTTCCCCAGGGACGACGTCGGTGGAGCTGAAGCAGCTCAAGAGGAAGCTGGGGGTTTACAAGAAGCTGCGAAATTCCCAAACTCCTCCTCCAGATGCATCCAGCTCAGCAACTTCGGCATCAACGATATGCACTGTCATCAAAGAAACTCCGGGCCCTGGAGAAGAGCCTTTCTCCAAGCAGCCTCGGCCAGCTGCCCGCTCAGGAGTAGAGAGTAACGAAAAGGTGTGTACGGAATATTGGGATGTACCCTATGACCCTATTAATGAAACTATCTTTGGGTACTCCGAGCAACGCCCGCCCCTCGTGCTCGAGGTCATCTGCAAAGGACAACGCCTCCAAGCACTCGTGGAGAGCGGAGCATCACACACCGTCTGCGACAAGGCAGTAATCGACCAACTTTAGGAAGAGTACAAGCCTTCAATATTCTCTGCAACGATGGTGGACGGCAGCAAGTTACCAGTACACGGCGAAGCAGTGTTACACCTACAAATTGGACCACTGCGCTGGAGACCTGCACTCCCCATCACCAACATAAAAGGGTTTGACTTGATCTTCGGGCGAGACTTCCTAAAACGACTCAACCCCGAGATCAACTGGGTGAACCGCACCACAAGCATCTACAACAATGGTCAGAGAGTACAGCTACCCAACTAGGACGATACAGGAGATATCCCAGTGGAGACACTCGCACGATTCGAGAAGGACGTGAAGCGAACTGACACCGGGTTTCTGGCGATAGCGACGGAGGTGGAAAACGACAGGGAAAAAACCTCGGAACCTCCACAAAATATCAAAGAATTATTGAAGGAATTCCAAGACATTCTTTCCTACGATCTTCCGAACAAGCTACCACCATACCGAATGCATCAACACGAGATTGTGGAGGAGCCGAGTTCGAAGCCGACCTTCCGAGCACCATATCGGCTCAGCCCCACTCAGCTAGCCGATATGAAAAAACAGATCGAGTATCTCCTCGCCAAAGGACTCATCCGACCTTCCACTTCACCATACGGTGCCCCAGTGCTCTTCACACCGAAACCGTACGGGAGCCTGCGCATGTGCATCGATTACCGAGCTCTTAATAAGCAGACCATCACGAATAAATATCCGATACCACGAATCGATGACCTGCTTGACCAGCTTCGAGGAGCTACGGTATTTTCCAAATTGGATCTGAGGTCCGGATACTGGCAGATACGAACGGCGGACAACTCCATCCACAAAGCTGCCTTCCAAACTCGGTACGGATCGTATGAGTATTTGGTAATGCCATTCGGACTCACCAACGCACCGGCAATGTTCCAAGCCGGAATGAACCACATTCTATGCCCACTCTTGGACGAGTGCGTGGTGGTGTACCTGGACGCCATTCTCATCTACTCGCGCGACATGAAGCAGCACGTCGAACACCTGCGACGCGTCTTCGAAATTCTTCGACGAGAATGATTCTACGTCAAATTGTCCATGAGCCAATTCGCCCTCGAGAAAGTCCAATTTCTAGGACACATGGTGAGCGCTCAGGGAGTTCACGTCGACCCCAAGAAAATCGAAGCCGTACGCACGTGGAAGACACCTGAAAACGTGAAGGAGTTGCAGCAGTTCCTAGGCTTCGCTACCTATTACAACAGGTTCGTGCCACAGTACGCGAAAATCGCAACACCACGCACGAATCTGCTGAAGAAGAACACGCCTTATAAATGGGAGCCAAAGCACCAGGAAGCCATGGAGCAGCTGAAACAAGCACTCAGGTCCGCACCCGTACTCATCTTGCCAGATCCCGAATGCGACTACGTCATCGAAGCTGTCGCCAGCGACCAAGCAGTGGGAGGAGTCTTGATGCAAGACCAGGAGAATGGACTGCAACCAATCGCCTACCTCAGCAAGAAACTACACGGGGCAGAACTAAACTACCCAATACACGACAAAGAGGCCCTTGCTATCATCATCGCCTTCAAAACGTGGAGATGTTATCTCGAAGGACGAACAACAACCGTCTACACCGACCACTGCAACGTGAAATATTTGAAGACACAACCAACCCTCTCTAGGCGGCAGGTCCGGTGGATTGACTTCCTCGAGACACACTTCCACTATGGCATCGTGTACAAGCCCGGCCACAAATACAAAGTAGACGCCCTTAGCCGGCCGGCACATGTTTGTGATTCTCACACCACCCCTCCTTCCACTACTCAATGGACTCTTCACACACGTGTACACCATCAACCCCGAAATTCCCTTGGCAGGAAAGCGACATCTGCTACAGTGGGACAGTGACATCGCGTACCGGAACGAGGAGGAGTGAGGGGCACGGCGGAGCCGGCCCTCGACGCAAGGGGTGTACGGCGGCGCGGGTGAGGAGGGGAGCGCGGGGAACAACTCAGGGAGACCTAAAACAAGACCGTGCTGAGACATGTGACAAAGACGAGGGAGGGCAGGGTGACATAGACGGTGGTGCCACAGTAGCGTCGGGTGAGTAAGCGACCGACACGAGCAAGCCGCAGCTACCTGAGGAGACACACCTATCTGGGGAGACGTCCCAACCGGGGGGGACGCGGTGTCCAGCGTGAACAGGCCAGACACCGGGTCCCGGGGGAACGTGGTGAGGGGAGCACCAGTGGCGGCCTCGGTACAGACAGCGTACTGTTCGTGACCAGGGAACTTAGTGGTGACGCCAAGGTCCTGGAGGCAGCCGACACCAACTAGGTTCCTAGAGATCGAGGGGATGTGCAGGCCTATAAGAGAGCCCGAAGGAGCCGTCGGAAAGGGAAGGGTAGTGGAGCTACGGGCAACGACCGGGCCTGAGAAAGGGTCAGCAAGGGAAACTGCGGCGGGAGCGGCAAGTGGCGTGAGAGTAGTGGAGTCTCGAAAGAAGCACCGGGAAGCGCCAGAGTCAAGGGTGAAGGAGAGCGTGCCAGTGGCGGCAGGAGCCGAAGCAAGGCAACACGGGGTAAGAGGAACCAATCACACTAGAGTCATGGACATACTGCACATACAAAGCAGAACTAATCTCATCCATGTCCATATCAAAGATCTGAACACCACAATGGAGCAAACTGAGCCAGTCGGGGAGGTCGGGCGACGGGCCGAAGCGGAGACAAAACAGGTCATCCAGGCGACTGAAACAGCTGGTGGGGATGTGACCGATCTTACTGCACACGAGGCCACGGCGAGGACCGGTCTGGAGCTAGCACTAGAAGCACCCGTCACTCAAACCACCACTTGACGTCATGCTGCGCGCACGACCACCGCGACCGCGCCACCACCAGCGCCAGGCCACCCGGGCGGGAGACGACCAACCCGCCTGCTGCTGCTTATCCAGCGGTGGAACCTGCTGCTGCTGCTGGGACTGCTGCTTGGCGGTGCCAGCCCCAGCTCCCTCGTCAGCACTCCCAGCAGGCGACCCAGCTCCACCACCTCCTCCACCCCCGCCTCCGCTACCACCGCCGCGCCTAGCCTTGGGGCGGCGACCCTTTCCCGGACGAAACTACGCTGCGACGGCTGTCTCAGTCACATCAGAAGAGCCGTCAGAGAAAGTGCACTGAGCGGGTGCACAGCCCTGAAAGATAGTGACCGGCACAGTACCGCGATGGGCAAGATCGGGATTAGCTGCGACTTTCACCAACGTGGCAAAACACCAAGCCACGAGGTAGAACATGACACGACCAGTGGGGTGCCAACCAGCAGGTGCCAGAGGCCCAGGCTAGTATGGGCTAGCGAAGACGGATGACACTCAAACACCCTATCTGCTCAAATATCAGTCCCTCAACCAGCTAACCCTGAGTGTGCGTGTGAGTTTCGTCTGCAAGTTCAGACATCGGTGTACGTTTCATCTGAAACCTCAGACCTGAGAAATGTGCTCGTATGATGGTCAGACGAAATTTTGAAACCCCGTCTGATTTTTAGTCGGGCTTAAAACATAGCAAGAACCCTGGACTGGATACGTTGACGCGGATCACGCAGCTGACCCCGACAATAGGCGTTCACGTACATGGTTCATTTTCGAGCTCGAACCGGGTGGTGCCAATTCTTGGAACTCGACGATACAGGAGGCCATCGCACTTTCGTCAGCTGAAGCAGAATTCATCGCAGCAAGCTCTACAGTTCATGAAGGGCGTCGCAGAATTCGTTAGAATTCGTCGCAGCAAGCTCTACAGCTCTACAGTTTATCTTCAAGAGTTACTTGCAAGAGACGAAAATCGCAACTACACGTAACTTCAAGTTACTCAGCGACAACTAGAGCCCAATCAAGATAGCAAACAATCACGGCTTCGTCAACAGGACAAAACACATCGCCCTCCGATACTTCTTCGTCAATGACGAGATCGACGAAGGGAAGGTCATCCTGACATACTGCCTTACGGAAGAAATGACAGCTGATTTCCTCACGAAGAAACTCCCACGCGGCATGTTTCAATACTGCTCCAACCTGGTTGGAATCCGCAAACGCGGCTACACTTATCCAGGGACATACACTCAGGAATGAAGGGGAGTGTAAGTATACTCGGTAGAGTTACCATTTATGCATTCGTTACAGTATATTGTACTTGGACTATACTAGTAGCGCGATACCTCATATGGAAGGACGCGCGCGATGACGTCAGCAGTAGCGAGTCAACGCGTGAATAGTACGCTCGCGCGTATAGTCACCCGAAGGGTCAAGCTACTCTCCGTCACACGAATAGTCGAGATACACTACGCACAGATACAATCTGAAAAGTTACTTCCTAGATTATAAATGTGTCTGTATTACTCATTGCTATTATCCATGTCATCTCGAACATTTCCTGTTCAAGGTATAAATTCTTTCTGTGAATTTGTATCTTTGCTCCACCAACTCTAGATCCTGGCCACCGTAAAATCGTGGTTCGTTTCAACAAAAAGGTTTATATCTAGGGGCTTGGTCGTAAATGATAAAAGAACTGAAGTCATTTCAGGAGTCTTGCATGCTTTAACAAATACCATAATCCCCCATATATAACACCGTAGGGCGTTGCAAAAAAAGCACTAAAATTTTGAATGGGTGTTAAAAGTGGCCAGGAAAAATATAATGCCTATGTGTTATGTGCAATGCCAATTGAATCTAGGCTGCAACAGGCATTGTGAGCCCACAACTAAACGGAGCGGCCGTTGATGAGGAAAATGCAACAATGATTGCACATTCTGACAGGGCCGATTCAGTGCCTTGGAAAACGGCGGGAAAGCGATTTAACAGTGGTTTCACTACGTTGGACGGCCGCGATCCTCGCGGCCTTTGCTTCGCGATGGGACTTGTGTTGTTTCTTTTGCCCATTCCTACGCTGCTAACCACAGTTGACTCAAAATTCGCATGCGAACCCCTTTTTGCAGCGGATCCAACCGTGTAATGAGCGGACTGAAGTGTTTTAAAGCCGCTGACCCAAAATGTACAAGATTAATGAACTTAATAGGGCAAAAAGTTGGGCAAGTCACACAGCAAGGGTGTGGAGCACGGGCTCAAGGTGGCGAGAGAAGGTCAGGGCTGTGCGAACATCGCAACTCCCCACGCGACAATTGCACAGAAGGCAGCAACAATACACCAATCAGAACGAGGGAAAGCCAAGATGGCACAACCAAGAGCAAAAAAAGACAAAAACAAGGGGGAGTTACATGAGCGGAAACGGGGAAGAAGGGGCGCGCAAAACACAAAGAGGGGGGGGGGACGTAATGGCTGTGTTCTACAGGCATTTGACGTCGACGTCGACGTCGACATTGAGGAAGCTCCTCAAGCGACTTCTAGAGCACTGGTTACCACTCAAACCAGGTGCACTTTCCAAACCTCTCTTGGAAGCAACGCGCCAAACTGTGGAAAGCGCGAGCGAAAGGAGAGAGGAGCCAAATTGAGGCTGATGTAACACCACACGCAAGGTGAACTCCGCGATTTAGCGAACGTCAGCATTGCGTCACCTTTGCGTCAAATTTGCCAGGGAGGGAAGCGAGGGGGGTGTTTCCCTGACGTAGATGTCATCTGTACATGGACCTGTTCTGCAGGCATGTTGATGTAACTAGGTTCGGGTACCTTGTGCCAGGTTTGGACGAGATTTTGCGGGCTGACCCTCGATCCGAAGCAGAAAATAAGGCTTTCGGAAGGTGCTCTGATGTAATCTGCACTTTCCTTTTCTGCCTGCAGAACGCAGCCAATGTGCCAACCAGCAGAGGCGATGGAGAAGCTACCAAGCACAGGGACAAGAGCGGCTAGGGGCGTGTCCCGCGCGTGCGTTTACACTACAAAACAAGGTACAGTTTGTCAACAAATATAATTGTCTATGCTTGGTACAGTATATTTGTTATAGCCTTAATTGGGTCATTTCTTAGAGGGTATATTCTCACCTTTGTAACCCTCAGCCTTCCTCCCTTAGTCAACTTTCTCTCGACATTCTAACTTGGCATCTAGAGCTAGGTCTCGCCCTCTACTCACGCTTCCTCCCTAGCACACCCTAGCCTAGCGCACCTCGCCCCTAGCTGTGCGCCTCGTAGATCGTCCCCTCCCCGCCCTTTTCTGCTCGTCACGTAGCTCGCGTCGGCTAGCGCCAGCCGCCACCAGCTAGTGCCGACCAGCGCCAGCCGCCGCTAGCCCGCACCACATTGGCGCCTTTATTGGTCGCCAATCCCCCCCCCCCCCCCCCCCGCTCGATCGTAGCTCGTCCCTGACGCCAGCGCCAGCCAGCCCGCCAGCTTGCCAGCATTAGCTCGCTAGCCCCTGCCAGCAGTTTGCTGCCAGTGCCAGCTAGCCAGCCCCCAGCTCGTGCCAGCTAGCTGCTAGCTGCCAGCGCCAGCTCGCCAACGCCAGCATGCCAGCGCCAACTTGCCAGTGCCAATAAGCATTCGCAAGCACTAGCCAGCTAGCCAGCGCCAGCTCGCCAACTCGCCAGCTGCTAGCCGACAGCGCCAGCTTGCCAAATGTTACCCGCCAGCGCCAGCTCGCCAGCTGCTAGCCGCCAGCGCGTCAGCGGCTAGCCGCCAGCTACTAGCCACCAACTGCTAGCCGCCAGCTCGCCAGCTGCTAGCAACCAGCGCCAGCTCGCCAGCTGCTAGCTGCCAGCGCCAGCTCGCCAGCTGCTACCAGCCAGCGCCAGCTCGCCAGCTGCTAGCCGCCAGCGCCAGCTCACTAGCTACTAGCCTCCAGCTGCTAGCTGCCAGCGCTCGCCCGCCGATTACCCGCACTTGTCAGCAGCGCCAACTGACTCCACTGCCCGCCAGCTGCCACTGCCAGCGGCGCCTCTCCGCTGCAGCCACTGCCTCTGCCGCTACTGCAGCTTGCTCTGCCGCTTGCTCAGCCACTGCAGCCACTTGCACCGCCGCCGCGGCCACTGTTTCAGATGCTGTTGCCACTGCCGCTATAGCCGCTTTAGCTGCCGCTGCTACCACTGCCACAGCCGCCACTGCCGCTGTCGCCACTTCCCTTGCAGCCGCCGCTGCAGCCGCTGCCCCTGCAGCTACTACTGCCGCTGCTGCCCTTGCAGCTACCACGCTGCCCCCTGCAGCTGCCCCTGCTGCTGCAGCCCACACTACCACTACAGCCGCTGCTGCCACCACTGCCGCGGCTCGCCCGTACCCATGTAGCTGCCTCCGCTAG